TGTTTCCTTTTCTTTTTAGTGATCTATCACGTCCAGTCTGTGTACTAAGAGCGTGGCGCTGTCCACTGGGGCTTCACCCTTAAAGAAAACTGTCCCTCTGTCAGAGTCAGTCAGGAGCAGTCACCGGTTCCTATGATGTAGGAAGGAGCGTGTGAGCACTACCCGCTCTTTGCTAGAATGTTCCCTGGCCTCCTCTTTGTGTAGGTGCCTCAGCTTTTGTGAGTTCATGGGGCAGAAGACCTTGGTTCAGTATGTCTCTTCCTGACCTCTGGTTCTTGGGCGCGTTTTTATCTTGATTTTCTTAAAGTTTCTATTATCTCTGTAGAACGTAGATGGATGAGGATGAGATTGGAGACTGCAGGCATGGTGTAGGATTGCGACATGTATCCAGGCTGGAGGCAGTGTGAGGCTAAGCAAGGCAGGAGGGTGGCAGGGGAGGAGCATGAGAGCAGACATGGAAGGTAAGAGTCTGACTTGTGAAATACACACCTCAGTGCAAGGGCAACAGGCAAGTGTGTGCCAGGGAGAAAGGGGTCTCTTTGTTAGGGTGGATCTCCCAAAAGATTGCGAATCCAATATTCACAATAAATATCAAACCATAGCATCACCTCAAGAGTACTCAAATGTTCTAGATGCTCTTTCTTTGGTCAGGTGTGTTGGAGTGGCTTCTAAGAAAGAGCTGGCTCCTAGCTCCATGACTCCATGACTCTGTTGGCTTCTGTGCAGTGTGCCCTGAACATTTGCTGTTCTTAGTTGAGTAGAGGAGTTCTGTCACTTAAAGAACTTAACACTCTCATGAAACATCCTTTTCATCAATAGTTGAGTTAAAACAAACCTGGGACACATACTGTGGAAGGTGTAATAACACATAAAGCTTTTAAATAAACAGGAGAGATTTTCTTCCTCAGGCAACTGGCAAGTGTTTCTTACGCTCTGTGATTGGCTGTTAGTGCCCTCTGTTGGATATTCACTCTAAGGCAGCATCTTGCAGTTCTCTTTATCAAAAGGGGAAACATGAGAGATTGAAAAATTATGATAGTGACTGTCAGGATGGATCATGGGTAAAGGCACATGTTCCTAAGCATGGTAGCCTGACTCTGGCAGGTTGTCCTCTGATGGTGTGTTGCACGTGAGTGTACACACATGCACGCACACACACTTACACATATGCACACATACTATGGTAAAAGATGATAAAATCTGTGAGAATTCTAAAAATCTGGTTGCATGACCTCAAGGTTCAGTGGCAATCTTGAGAAATATCTTTACCATCTTATTTGATATGATATTATGGACTGTTTTCCAAAAGTAGACATTTCTAGTGAGAAACAGTGTGTGTCAGGATGATATTTGAGGACTTTCCATGTAGCAAAGGGTCACAAAGCAGCTACCCTGGTAGGTAAGAGCAGCTGCTGCCTTGATGGTCACACAGAGATCACTGGCTCATTTGGGGATGTTGGAAATTGTACAGTCAGGAACATCATCCTCAGGACAGTGGCTGTTAGGTAGGAAGCTTTCAAGGTGTGTGTGTGCGTGTGCGTGTGTGTGGGGGGGAGGGAGAGAGG